CTTCAGCATGAGTGAATACACAAGGGTATAATATTCTTTCACCCCAACTATTAGAATAGGACACAAATTTCAGGAGAAATGGTTATTTTCCACCAATGAGCTACTTAGTATCACTTCACATTTAACTTTTTCATACTAGAGAAACACGAGCTATTTTTAAACTTTTTCTTTTAAACTAGTGGTTAAAAAGCTAGTATTATCTCAAAAGGACCTTGTTTGAGGAGTGAGTCCTAAGAATCTCAATTAGTTAGTTGGTCACCAGAAAAGGACAGAGAAGCTTTTATAACCAGCTGACTTTTCTGAGGTTTCATTTTACATTTCAAGAGCCCTGTGTTCTAATATCACTCAACTGAAAAGAGACACTGTAGGTGTCCAAAGCAGGAGAGTCAAAGAGATGAAACGGCTAGCATATATTAGCCACCTTTAAGAGCTCCCGAACTACCTGGTATTCCAAAGAATTGTGGTGTGCGTGATAATTCCAAAGGGTATAATCATTTCTTCTGGGAAAGAGGCCACAGCAGAAACCAACGAATGAGCTACTGTCCAACAAAGGGGTATCTGTATAGCATCCTGAAGAAAAAAATCAAATGACCTCTAAATCAAAACTGTGTAAGGTTGCCGTCTTCTGATGAACTTAGAAATCTAGTACTTTTAAGGTATACTCTTGGCCCCATTCTAATTGCTATATGACCTTGGAGAAAACTTTTTTGAAGTTTTCTGTGTCTATAAAACCTGGTTAATAATACTATCTGTCCCAGATGGTTGGAACTGTATGAATTAATTAGTTCAAGCTGGAAAGGTCTTTGATAATATTAAGTCCTGAATATTGTTATTGTTATAGGTGCATGTGGAGGCAATGTTATACACACATCTATAATTAGAAAGGCCTAGAAACTACAAATGGTGCCAACGCCCCAGGAGTCAAGTTAAGGAGACAATACCCTGTGTCATTTTTCTCCCTAAGAAGAAGTCGGCTTGTTATGACTGAATGCCTAATTCCCCCTTTTATCCTCTCTGAAAGGTTGCAGCTTGTCTTGGACTTGCCCATCACAGAACATAGTTTTTACTAGGTATAGCTGCTTTTAAGGCAGTGTTCTAAATGAAGTGCCGATATTCATTAGAACACAGGGTACACAGGGTACAGTCTTGAGTTTACGATGCTTGTTAATTCATCTGAGTCAAGGGAATAAGTCCTTCACCAGAAATAGCTGTCATCTGAAAAATGCAGAAAATTTCTTTATCTGTGAAATGAAGGGAGAGGTCTAAGCCTTCTTTTATTTTTTATTTATTTATTTGTTTGTTTGTTTGTTTCAGGCGAGGCGACCCTTGGTTGACCTCACAGATTGCAAGGGCCTTTTCAGCTTACAATCCCTTATTTTTTATTTTGTATACCTACAGCACCTGGTCTTCCTAGGTGGTCTCCCATCCAAGTACTAACCAGGCCTAACCCTGCTTAGCTTCCAAGATCAGGGTGTCATGGCCGTAGATCCTAAACCATCTTTTAGAGAAGAAAAGCTTTCTTTTTACTTTCCAAACAAACAAATTTTTAAAAATCACAAAGTGTTGTGTGGAATCTAAATGCATAAAATAAATAAGAACTGAGCTATGTAGAATGAAAGGAAAAGGGGGAAGGTCTTCTTGTTTCCTGCAGTGACCCTAGAGCATGTCAAATCAAGGCTCCCCTGAGCCCAATTTAAAGACCATTGGACCAGATAATCTCTAAGCCAAATTTCAACTTCTAATTTTTGAGTACTTAAAATTCCACTAATATTAAGAACCTGAACTGCTGAGCCCTTAAGGAAGATTAGTTTACCCACTCACAATTTATTTTATATGCTGTCTTGTTTGAACATCTCTCTTTTCACCTTCAGCTCTTGGTGAAGGTCACACAGCACTGTAATTCATTGTTGCCACATTCTCTCATTTAATCCTCGTAACACTACTGTGGGATAGCTATATTATTATTTATATTTTAGAGATGAGAACACTCAACACGGAGATGTAATTTGCCACCTAAACAATGGCAAAGATAAAATTTAACCCCCAAACAGTGTGACTGTAACCTTGGGTAATAGCTAAAAACTAAACCATCTTGTTCATCACTCAGTGTAGAGTAACTGCCTATATATGTTGATTCGCCTTTCTCTCTCACTAATTTTATATTGGCTAAACAATAAATTATGATTTTATGATTCACAGCCTTTTTGAAACTGTAAGTCTTGGGCAAATTTGTGAAGTTGGCACTTTCAGGAACACCTTCCCTTTTCTTTTTTGTCTCTTCATGGAAACCCCTCTGTCCATGTCAAGCAATCAGCATTCTTACATTTTCTCTATACTTAACTCTATTGAAAAACAAAAACAAAAAACCACTCATGAATTTGTTAGTCCTAATGTGTAAGCAGCTGATATAGATTAAAAGTACATTTGCATTTTAAAAAATGATAAAGCCTAACAAGTAATTCTCTAATGATGAAATTTCAGAGGAAATTATTTTAGACTGGAGTCTTCGTGATATTTTCACTTCAGGTAAAGTAGTTGATTTCCCTCTTTTACACCTAGACTTCTCAAATGACCTATCTATTTTTGCCAACTGCTTTTATTTCCTGGCTTCTGGCTATTCTCTCCACTAGTCCATTGAAATGGACTTAAAGACATAAATGACATTATTGTTAAATCCGATGATCTTTCATTAGAATCCATTCTCTTCCATCTTTTTATGGCAATTATATATTTTTTATCATTCTTTCTGCATTGAAAAACTATTATACTGAGATTTATGTAACACTACACTTACTTAGCTCCCCTCCCTCTTCTCTATGGAATCACAGTTTTTTCACCTTTAATTTTCTTCTTTTGATCTTCTAATTGTATGAGTTCTTCAGGCTACTACTTGAGCAAATAATACCTGTATTTAAAATTGTCATTGGTGTGCATTATTTATACCTTCCCAAAGTGTGATCTATGAAACATTATTCCCACAAGACTGCACTAAAAAAAGTGAATGTTCAGGAACCATGGCAAACACTTCTCTTGCCTTCCACGTTCTAGAGACTGTAAAAGTAAATATTCTCTTTCACAATCTTACTTCTAGATGGAGTGACCAGATGACACAATTCTGGCCAATAAGGCAGAAATTGAGGTCTGTCGACCCTTCACCCTTCTTCCTGCTTTTAACACGGCCTGGAAGCAGGAACTGCAGTAGACAACTTGTGGTTTTGAAGGAAGGGCAAAGTGAATTGCAGAGATAGCAGCTTGCACACTGCAGACCATTGAGCCTAGGCCAGAAACCTGCCTCCCGAGTTCTTGTAACATAAGATGAACAAATTCCTATTTGCTTTAACTTCCAAAATCAGGTGACTTATACCTTGCAGCTGAACACACTTCTAAATAGATATAAAAATGCAACACACTATATGTCCCTCTTGGAACCTCAGAACGCGCATTAGGATATTAAAGGAACTGAAAAATCTTCAAGAGAAGAAATCTGTAGAATTTTGTTTAATATATCATCTCCTAAATGCATTTGATCCAGGATCCCATAGAAGTACAGTTTCCTACATCCGTGTTTTTCAAAGTGTGATCTTTAGAGCAGCAACATCTGCATCATCTGGAAACTTGTTAAAAAACCAGACTCTTAGGCTCCAGTCCAGACTTGGAATCTACATTTAAACAAGATACCCAGGTGATTCGCATGACATTAAAGTTTGAGAAGCACTGCTTTGGGAAACATTGGTTAAAGAATAAAGTGCAACTAATCTTAACATCTTTATGTGATCCATTATTTTAAGACATCTATTATTATTGTCCCCTAATGTCTACCTCGCTAATAATCGCAGCTAGTTCTTATGGACTGCTTACTTTGTGCAGAGCATTATTCTAAGTACTTTACTCGTGCAATTCTCACCTAGTCCTATGAGGCAGGTACTATTTCAATCTTCATCCTACAAATGAGATAGATGAAGTTCAGAGAAGTTAAGTAGTCTACCTGAGGTCACACAGCTGTTAAGTAACAGAATCCTTGGTTTAAGGATATAAGGACCACTAAGTGATATTGCCTCTCTAACCTTTTTTTGGTTCCCATATACTTTTCCTGCTTTGTGTACTTTAACAAGGGTTTCCCTCTGCCTGTAACAATCTCTCATATACATCTAATGATCTCAGCTCAAAACATTAGTTCTTCCAGGAAGGTTTTCTGATCCTCTATTCACCACCAACCCAGGTCAGGTACCCCACAATACATTCCTCAGGCATGTATTTTTCTTCATACTTATCAGATTTCAAATTTATTTCAATTTTTTGACTCTATGATTAGTGTATGTCTTTATTTAAAAAAAAAAAAAATGAGCTTCACGTGGGCTTGAACTGTGGCCTTTGTGCCTGACATTTGTTGGCATGCAAATGTTTGGAGGAATATCTTGCCTTTAGTCAGAATTTTACTCTCACTTGAGAGGTTTTCTCTCTATCTCACCTATCAAAGTTCTATCTAGAAGAATCGGTAGCATGGTGGCAAAACACTTCATTTAGCATCAGAAGACTTAGATTTTAGTCCTTGTTCCCCTACTTATTAGCTTGGTAACTTTGAGCAGTCACAAAATCTCAGATCCATAAATTCTAAGCTCTGTTAAATGGGGACAATAATTCTTTATAAGATTGGTATAAATGAGGCTTCAGAAAAAAAGAGTATAACCTACATAAACATCCTAAAAAATATGAGATAGTATTTTATAGTGATTGAAATGCTGGTTTGTGTTTATAAAACTTTTAGCTCTATAGTTAGAGACCTGAGTTCAAATCACTATTTATAATATTTATTGTCCATGCAGTTGATTTGGCAATCCATTATTTGCTGGAATTTTTCCTGTGTTTTTTTTTTAACTGCAGTCATACTTAATTTATTGTGCTTGTGTTGTCTCCCAAGTTGTGGTATATATTCTATGCTTTTTATTTTTTGTTCAACATAAGCTCTTATCATAGCACTCTGAACATAGGAATTCAATCAATATTAACATAATTAACATTTATTTGGTGAATATTATATATGCTATACTGAAACTACATTAAGTAATAAAGGCAAGCAAGAATGAAAAGTACTACATATAACAATTACCATTATTATATATGTATATGTTCAGAACTGTTATTTTTCAAATTGCTTTAAACCAAGATGAACTGCAGCAATAAAAGCCCAAGAAGGACAATTAAACAATATTTGGAATAAAATCATTTGGCCTAATTTTCATAACCACGGATTTCAAAGAATACCACCATCCATGCCAGGTGTGCCAGACAATCCCATTGTCGGTTTTAGCCCTGTAGGAACCAGGGTAGTATAAACCATTCAGGTTTGCAGAGTGACATCTAGTGGGAGAAAAAATAAACACAGAACAATCAGACCAGAAAAATAACCTTCTGATACTCTTTTATTTTGCTAGCAAATGATAAAAAACATTTTAACTATGAATTCTGCCATTTTTCAGATAAGGAAATATTTATTAGTTTTCAGAAGCCAAGCTATTTCTATGACAGATAAGTTTTTTCTGTTTTGTTTTGTTTTGTTTTTAACTGGTGAATTTTAGTGCCATAACAAATCTGAGGATACAAGCAGGCCATTTGCAGCTTATTGATAAAGAAGATCTCTGTTCTTAATAGCTTTTAAACAAACAAGTGAAAAACACACACACATAAAAACATAATCTTGCAATGCTTAGCCTTAAAAAGAGCTCTATGGGTTAACAAAGCAAAGTGTGTCATGGTGCTTTACTGCCAGCTTTTCTGGACAATTTGCACTTATACATTCATCCATCTGCTGCCAAAACTTAGCTTTTGTAATTCAAACTTTCCTCTTGCCCTTTTTAAAATGATTAGCATATCAATTATTTTAACTTCAAAGGTAAGAAACAAAGCTTAAACCTATCATTTAAAGTTTTCTCAGCCATGAACCAGTAATCATTTGTCTGAGTTGCTGAGTTAATTTTTTACTTTAATATATTGCTCCAATCAAGATAAGTTAGGTTATCATAAATTTTAAAATGTCTCTCTTCCTCCTTTAAAATCTGTAAATTTTGTCCCAGATATTGATAAACTAACAGTATATGATCCTTTTCTGTGCTTTGTTATGAAATGAATTGCTACATATTTCTTTATTGATATAACCAATAAAAAGATGTCAGGCATTAGAACCTTCACAGAGAACCTTCACAAAGGATAATTCTGAAAATCTATGGAAAGTACCAAATTATTAAATCAAAAAAACATATAATTTACCCATAAAAGAGGAGTGGTTGGCTTGGATCTCTTACCAGCTAAGTGACTGCTAACCATCCTGACGGTCCTTCTATCTTAAATATAACTAACCGAAACCATGTATGCTAAATCTGCAAGTGTCAAGAGCATACTGTGTTTTTAAAACTGCATGGAAAGTAATGTCAAAAAAGAAAATACTCTGAATTGAGCCTCCGGAATATATATTTTGGTATCTCTGTCTTCCTAGAGATATCTACTACACATATTTTTTTATTTGTTTTGAGATTTGAATATCATTAGCAATTGACTTTATTTGAACATAGGAAACTTTAGCTATTCTGAGACCAATTTCTATCATCTTTCTGTTTCTAAAACAGCCTGGACCTGAAACTAGATTGGGAGATGGTTGGAGCTCCTTTGGCAAAGAAGTAGCTGTGAGCACTCACATGAGATGCTTTGTAAAGCAGACAAGACATCAACCCTCAATGATTGGTTTGCTATTTGGAGAAAGATTGCCTTGTAAGTGGGTAATAATTAAGTGTCAATGTTTCACGTAAATTAGGAAAACTATGGGACAGGAAAACTATTAAGGAGGAAGAGGATGATAAAGTTAAACTATAGTAGTAGCAGGCATGATAGAAGTAACACCATGCTTCTGGAACAACAGACGTTTTCTCCAGCTCTTCTGATTTGCCACCTACACAGCTTTATCATCTCCTCTGACTCCAAGGATAATGCAGTCTCCTTGGGTGGCTCCAGCTACTGAATTGCCTTTGTCCTCTCTGCACCCCTATCTTTAAAGTCAAGTAAATCATTTATTTTCCGAGGTTAATATGTGTCCAGTTGTCATTCAGGCATTATACAAGATGATCAACTGAGCAGGTATATGATTTTGATCTTATGGTAATATTAACTGATGTGATTGTTATTTCTGCATATGGAACTCTGTTCAAAATCAAACATTAAGGGATACTTGCAACTTTGTGAATTATAGGCAAGTCTTACATAATACTGATAATTTTTACATAATGCTAACTTAGAAGAACAGAGGAAGAAAAAGGAAGAGAAAGAGAAGGTGACAAAGATGGTTTCTAAAAGAATAAGAACACCAGTGGGGGAAAGACTATCATTACTCTTGATTTGCTAAGTAGGAAAGATAACTTCGTTTCTCTGTCCCCTCTCACTGCTGTATGTGCTCCAATTGCCTTACAAATGACCAAAAATTAAATGGACTCAAACTTTTAGAAAAGCAAAATCCAGAGAAAATACTGTTTTTACAACTACTTAGATTCAATTTGACGCTACCTACAACTAGTTGTATCTCCATGGACTCTACAATTCTAAAATCAACACCTCGCAATTACTGATGTTCATAATGAAGACTCTCATTATTTTAGGGAAAATTAACATATGTCTGGTACACCTTCACTTAATAAGATAGAGGATTCTCAAATGCTTTAAAACTGCTTACATAACACAAAATGTTAAAATTTGGATCGTGGAACTTAAACGGATAGTCTTCAATTATATGGAAAACCCGACATTTCAGAAATATTCACTTACTAAAAATTCCGGAAAGGAAAGTTTACCTGTCTAGATATTTTGAAGTGGCCCCTGTCTTCTAAAGAGAAAAGTTGTTCAAAGCTCACGTACAGCTTGAACACATCTGCTTTGCAGACACAGCGGGCCCATCAGGTTATTTTTAAGAAGATTATATGAAGCTTCCAGTCCTGCCTTAAATTTGTAATTACAACCATGGGAGCCATATGAAAACCAATGGGTGAAGGAAAGTTAGAGAAATCAGAAATATCTGGCCTAGAGAAGAGAAACTATTGAGAAATACAATAAATATCTTCTCATCCAGGACCCAAAGACGTAGGTTGAAAAGGAATTACAATTCCTCCATAGCTACTGAGGAAAAAACTGGGGGCAGATTTCAGGTTAATGAAAGAAAAATCTTAGTATAATCAACAGTAGAATGGGCTTGCTGATAAAGTAGCATTGAAATATTCAATAAAAAAAGAAATATTCAATCAGAGGGTGGAAAGAGGTTTCAGGAATATTGTAGAGGAAATTTCTGCATCGGAGGGAACTTGGATTCAATGATTTAATGAAAATCGTAGTAATTGAAAAGTATTACATCAAAAAATTTACAACAAAAACACGGCCATTTTGTATGATAGGAGAAGGTGAAGAACTACTTGATTATTAGAATGCTGAAAATATTTTTCCTGTATGTAAATGCTCTGTATTTTTTCATATTAATTTGTGGCCTATCTTTATGATAACTCACTCATAATTCAGTTTGTAAACAATCTTTGTAAAAGTAGTAATATGATTTATTTCTGTGACATACCTTTCAAGCTTTACTAATGTACACAATGAACAAATCTTCAAAACTACACTTCATCACTGAAGAATTCTAATAAGGGTGATTGCTTAATAATACCAGTATTACAAAGAAGACCAATGTTTCCTCATATGCGTATTATAATTAATGCCCATCAGTGATATATCATCAACGCCATTACAACTACGTTTATAAAACATCAAACCTGTTAAACCACCAGCCAGACTGCTCTTCTTCCGCACAATTCCCTTCATAGTTGTCATTATCTCTGTCCCATGTGCTGAATTTCATTCTTTGGTGACTTCCCCACCATTGTACCTCAGGATGAAAATTCACCGCAAGGGCGTCTCCAGCTGTTCCAGAATATTCTCCAATATCCAACTCGTAGAAATTCTAAAAGAACGGAGGCAACTTTCACTCAGTTGTCACTCTTTAAATTATCGGCTTATTTAATAAACAAAAGAATAAGTTCTATTGTATGTTTTTGTTTCCACTGACTTCAGGGCTTATATTGTATGGTTTACGCACAATTTGTGGTACTTATTTGAAAATTTCAGTACCTTTTCATCGCCAACTTTGAAATTTTTATAGTGGGCATAACGGCTATTTTTCCCAAAATCTGCAAGGTCAATTTTTAAAGCATAGTCTCCTGGAAAAGAAAATAACAACAACAATGAATTTTTTTTTAATGTGCAAGATGACATTGGCTTACTGGGGTTTAAAAACAATTCATGGCTCTATTTTACTTAGACTATTTCCTTCTGATATGAGTCAGTTTTCCAAAGAATAAACAGTGACTCCATTATGTTTACAACATGAAAGTTTTATTGTGTATTTGACTTGAAAAAAGGACACATTATTAGAGGTAGAAAATTTCTATTAGATCTATCATAGGTAAAAGCTAGTGCAATTTGCTTGGCAAAGAACAATGGAAAATAAGTCATTATTCAGTTAATAGGTTAAGATATCTAACAATAGAAGGGAAATTTTTATAAGTTTAAATATTTACCCTCTTTTTCTTAATTTTTATAAGAATGTTGATCTTAAATATAAATAATGACCGAGTAGTTTGTATGTTCAAGTAATTATCTTTTCCTCATTGTCCCATCATTTGCGATAACAAAGACTTACTTTTTCAGAAATAGAACTACTGTCAGGAACATTTGAAAGTTATAAATCAAACTAAATGTTAAATAGTGTATGTTCTATCCTTCTACTTTGACAAAATTTCATAATGACCTGCAAGACCAGGTTTGAATTTAGAGTCTTAGATTCCTCAGAGTTCCAAGCCAGAACATGGAGGCCCAGGAGAGAGAGCCCCCAGGCCACATTACACAGGCCTGATCTTTGGTCTGCCTCCCTTCTCTTTCCATCACTATCTCCATCAGACACAAGAGAGGGCCTTATTCACACTTGTGTACTTTTCCAACTGAACATTCAAGCTCTGTTTATATCCACAATAAAAGCTGCTCTTTCACATCTCCTCGGGCTCAGGCGTACACACGCCAGCGGCACACCCTTCCTGCAGGAGGACAGATGAAGAGGCCTGAATGGGTCCTGGATGTTCGGAATGCTGGATTCCCCACGAGAGGAGTGAATCTAGGAGGGGTGTGGACTTCTCTTGGCCTTGGCACTTTGGTCCCACAGATTGCTTGTCCCATAGAGCTCTCTAAAATGGGGTTTTAAGGAAAAGCCTTTCTAACCTGATCAAAAGGCAGTAAAGGTGATGTGAACCAGGACTGTGAGGTGGACGGGAGCAGTAAGGCAGGCTGTTAACTCTCCTAGAAAATATTTTGTGTTGTAGAAGAGATACAAAGTCAGTTTTAATTTTTGGGGTAGCCATCTAAATATCTCATTGGCCTTTCAGTAAATATCTCTTTGGCCATTAAGTAAATAAAAATGCAATTATATAGATCATTTCTAAATTAACTTTATTGCAAATACTTCCAATCAAAATTTGTGCAATGAAGATAAAGCAATTTTCGGAGGCAATTGCTTAGCCATAAGTGCTCATGTAATTGAAGAACACAGGAACAGAGGAACTATTTTTCCTTGGGATGATGTGATATGTAGTTGTGAAGCCTGGAACTGATAAATACATTTTTGCTGCCATGAGAGTAGCCAGACTGAACACTAATCAAATCATGAGGGGAAGCAAATATGTTGGCAACGTACATCTGGGCAAATAAGCACTGAATAATAATTTGAAAAATAACAAGTACGAATTTGTGTACTTAGAAGGAGCCAAGGATTACTTTTTCGGGTTTTCATAGTTTCAATAAGAAACCAGATATATATTAATGTGTGAAAGAAACAGAGCTGGTATGATAAACATTATATATCTATCATAAAACACCTAAAAGTAGGATAATAAGTACATTGAAATTTAGACAGCATTGGGCATAGGAAGGACAAACAAAGAAAGAAAGTATTAGACTTCTAGGATTATCCATATTCTCTAAACTATTATTCTGGTGTCTCAAAGATCCCTATAATTATATTCCTACTATTATAACTATAGAAACATCAACCATTTTCCTTAACTTAGATGTAACAACTAAACTCTTGCTTTATATTTCATGTATTGTCAGTGTAACTTAACATGTGTTCTCGAGCAATTGTGTTGCCTTTTATGAGACATTCAGAATCAGACCTGATTGGAACTGACTGCAATCTCAGACTGCAAATGAGGTAAGGAAAACAATGGATTGAAGCGATAGAACTTGGGAAAGAGAAGTGTGGACGATTTGTTATCAAACTATTGGTATTTTAGACAGATATTGAACTCTTAGTTAAAGGTATCCATGTAAAAGTATATACGGGAAATTTTATAGATGTCTGCAATTTATTTTGAAATGTGTCAAAAAATAAAATGAATTGATGGAGAGATAGATGGAGAGATACGGGATAAAAACAAGCATCATAAAATGTCAGTGTAGAATCTAAGTGATAGGTTAAAACATCTGTCAGCTTTGTTGTATCTTTGAAATTTTCAAAATAAAATTTGGAAGGGGTTGGAAACGAGAACATTTAGTATATTATGGTATTTCAGTGCAAAAACAACCTCAATTCCCCCAATTCTTCGCCTCTCCCTTAGCAATACTACTTTGTAACACCTCCTATTAAGTCTATTTTCTTTCCCTTTACATTTGAGCTGGTCCTGTGACTTGCTTTCACCAATAGAAGCAGTGTGCCAGTCTGAGTTTAGGACTCAAGAGACTTATGAGACTTCCACTCTCCCTTGGAACTCTGCCTTTGCTACAAGTCCAGGCTAGCTAGCTGGAAGACAAAAGACTGTGTGGAGCAGAGCTGAATTGTCCCATCTGAGGCCAACCTAGAAGAGCCAGCCTCCAGTTGACCAGAAAGTTGATCACAGAACCTTGAGTAAACCCAGCCAAGATCAGCAGAGTACAGCCCTCATCAACAAAACCACCCAGCCAACTTGTAGATCTGTGAGAAATAAGAAATGGTTGTGGTTTTAAGCCACTAAATTTTGAAGTGGCTCGCTTCACAGTATTATTGTGGCAATAGATAACTGCATGTTAATATATTTTGAGGGACTAAAGGTTTTAATAAAAGAATGATGATGACATTACATTTCTTTCCCAGAAATAGAAAATATATGAGAAATTCCCCACCCCCAATCCAGGTCATTTCTTTTCCTCTATTCTTAGTTTTAAGCAGTCGCATTCAGAAAAGGGATTATTGCCCAAAAGGGATCATTGTAATCTGTAAATCACTGTAGTTACTAATTAGTTCTATTGCCTATCATTTAGTGAAAAACATTTTAGTTATTTTCATTGCATTTCAAATGAATTTAATATTAGGCAAATCTTACCTTGTATGGTTAATAAATGAAGATTTTTATTACCCAGCCAATATTCACCATTTTTATGGACAAAATTTCCAAAGCCATTTTCATAGTCATTCCAGCCCCTAAAAAATTAAAGCAAAAGCTGATTTTAACAAAATTCAAATAGACCTTTAGAGTACCCAAGATGCCCACAATCCCCTGCTGCTGTGCCTGGCTCCCACCCCCAATATTTTCCTCCAATATTTAGTTAATGTACTTTCAGTATTCTTATTTAGAGAGAGTGAAATTCTGTCTAACTAATAGATTTCAGGATAGAACAAAAAGGTTTACTTATTATAAATCTCACATTTGCTACTCCAAATAAAATCTTATGTCGTAATTAGCACACCTGCTAAAGTTCTCACTGCCATCAGTTCGTCTCTGAATTACAGTCCATCCTCCTCCATCAGACATGTCACAATAGACAGAGAATTCTGCTGGGCTCTGGAGAGGTTTGATTTTGTAAAATCCACTCTGCTTATACCCATCATTAAAAATCTCTGAACAATCTGTTTGCAAAACAAAGTAATGTAACATTTGTTATGTGCCTTCTTTTTAAATAAAGGGAGCCTCTGAATTAGATTACTTAGTACTAATGGAGACAGATAAACACATGATGTAGATAATCAGCGTTTTAGAATTACATCTTGTACATCTTCCAGTGCATAGTAAGAAAGTCTTATTTCTTTTCCTAGTATTTAATTATCATCTGACTCCTTGCTATGATCATGGAAAAAGTGAAATAGGAATGTGGTTTCTCATTTATAATTTTTGTGGAAAACAATTTTTTAAATTATATGCTTTCAGTTAATAACAGTATATATAAATGGAACTTACAGCTTTATCAGACAGAATAGTGGAAATTATTTCTTTTATAAAGCTAAAATGAAAGTAGAAATATAACAACAAATAATTTAATATGGGTTATCTTGACTTAGAGCATTATAAATCATTTAGAACATCTGGAAATGAACTCAAAATAGTAATCATCTTGTTAGATTCTTACAACCTCTCGCTCTCACCAGATTTTTTACTAACCAACTGAAATTTCTAACAGTCCATGTAACAATCTTAGATATTTCTGCTAAAACTGCAAGTTTCTACTACTCCTTTTAATCCAGCATTCTTTTTTGCCATGATATTTCTTATTGAAGCAAACATAGCCACCAATTTGTTGCCAAAAAGTAAAATCTATTTCTTAAACCACTTGAGGGTGAGATAAATTAATATCATTGGGTCTCATCTAGACTGATCTGTCCTGACTTAGAGAATATGGCAAGTAGGAACTTCGCTATTATTTAGATGCCCAGGAAGCTGTGTTTTTGGGTGGTTGAAATAGTGGCCACTATACAGAGATATTTTCAAGGCTACCCAGTCACAGTATTGAATAAAAATACTATAATATGCATCCCTAACTTTCAAATTTTACCTTTATCATTTTGTTAATTTTCTATCTTTTTTAAATGTTTTCTCTTCCTGATTGAATAATTCCATTCTTTCAGCATATTTTTACGATCTTTCCTCATTTTCATTGTTTTGATGCCAAATTGTCTACCACTCTGTTTTATTACAAGTAAAGTATACTCTACATTAAATAGATTGAGTAGGCAATAAGAATCAGGAAAGAAAAGCAAAAAAAGAATCTTAGTCACTTTCTAAAGTCTTCCCCAGGTTGAGATCATCATACACTACTACTTTAGTGAGAGGTTCGTCTTTGTAATGATTTAAGTTTTATTCATATATTATTTTTGCAATGCAGAAGCCAAAGTGTTTTTCATATATGCTGAATTAAAAAAAAAAAAGATTCAGTTGTGGCAATTAAACATGAAGAAAAAAATGAGAAATGATTTACCTAAAATTAGTTCAGTGTTATTCAAAAGCTTACATCTTGTGGTCAAGTATGTTGTATGCCACTTTTCATTAAAGTAGGCAGATTTTAACTTTCCTTGTTATGAAAGGAGTTCACTTTATTTATATTTAAACTCCTACCAAAATGCTGAATAGTAAAGGCTCATAAGGTTTAGACTATTTCCCAGGCAAATATGGAAATAATTAGCTATAATGTTTGCTTCTGGAAAACTTCGTGAATATGCAGTTTTCAGCCAACATTTTCTATTTTTTTTTTTATTTTATGCCAAATATGAGTTTGTGTTTTTTAAACATTTTTTTCTTCCCAGAAGAAAGTTGTGTCAAACACAACTTAAAATCCAGAAGAAAGCTTTCAACTGGAAAAAAACCAACAAATAAATAAAAATCAAATAAGCGCCTGTAGCAAAACTGCTTATAGCAAATAGTTAAGGAGTCTGCCTTGGAAAAATGTAACTTATACTGTAAAAGCAGGAAGTTGAAACAATGTAGGGTTTTAAATATTAACTAGATACTTAAAACAATAATTTTCAAAATGTTTTGAAACCCTCAACCCCCTGGAAAATAGGCAAGAGAGGAAAAAGGTTAAAGAGCTCTGTGTTCATGAGACTTAAAAGAAAAAGATTTTTAGATACTTACATAATACCAGAGTGAGGTCAGGGCTTCATGCCCGGTTTGACAAACATTGTGTTAAATTGTGAGTTGAATACTTTCTCTGATCATGCAGAAAACAAGCCATGTTGGAAGGCTGAATGTTTAAGCTTCATAAAGTAACATGACAACCTGCCAAATGGGCTTTTTCCTTTCTTGTCCCAGAATGGTGGCTGAGCTCAAAGTTGAGAACTAAAGACTCTAATCACCCCACACTCTAAACTCAGAGAAAGACCAGCAAGAAGTCAGCCACCCCTCCAGAGAGCATGTTGGGAAATGCCAGCACTGGCCCTGCCACCATTCTCAACCTCTAGAAGACATAAGAAGGAAACATAAGAGGAGAAAAAAAGTTGGTTTTTTGGAGAAAGCAGTATTCTTGTAGGGTGGGGTGAGTGGCTCTCTTCTTTGAAAACCAGGGAGAGAGGATATACAGTAGCCCTCCTAATCCGTGGTTTGCTTTACACTGATTTACCATGTGGTTAACTGCAATCTGAAAATGGAAAATTACAGAAATAAAGAATTTGTAAGTTTTAAGTTGTGTTCTTTTCTGCGTGGTGTGATGAAATCTTGCAAGTCCCTCTCCTTCCCACTCTGACATGAATCATCCCTTTGTCCAGCATCTGCACCCTGTAGATACTCACCCGTTAGTCACTTAGGAGCCTTCTCAGTGATCAGATGGACTGTCTTAGTAGTGTTGTACTTGTGTTCACGTCACCCTTGTTTGACTTAATAATGGCCCCAAAGCTCAAATAGTGTTGCTAGCCATTCAGATATGCCAAAGAGAAGCCATAAACTGCTTCCTTAAAGCGAAAAGTTATGTATGTATAGGGAAAAAAAACATATTATATATATGGTTTGGCATCCACTGGGGGTGTTGGAACGTATTTGCTGTGGATAAGGAGGGACTACTGTGATAACATAGATAGATAGCTGACCTTCATTGAGCTAAATGCTAAATGCTTTTGTAGTCATGTATATGTACAATAACTCATTTAATGTTTATAACAAAGCAACAGGTATTCTTATCATTCCTATTATACAGATGAGGAATGAGGTACATAGAGGTAAATAATTTTCCAAAAGCTGGCAAGATGAGCAGATGGACTTTGAAACCAGGCTTCAGAGTCCACTCCTTCACCATAACACAGACTGCCTCAGGAGACTGTCCCATAAAGATTGGGGCTCCTGCAGAAGCGGACATGGTTAAGCCAACAGTCTTATTCACTGAATAGATGTTGTAATGCCACAGGCTGTTGTGATTGTCACCAATAATGCAAATTTGGTACTATAACCTTTTATTTTAGGCACATAAGTCAATAGCACCCAAAAGCTTAAAAAATGCATTTAATTATATGTTCTATAAAAATCATGCGATTTGTGCATTATTTGCATAAATTGCTAAGTTGTATGTAATTAGGTGTTTTCTACCGTAAGATGAATTAGAAGTCAGAAAATAATTTCATAATAATATAGTAACTTGTAAATAAGAGCAAAGAAATTTATATTTTTATAGAGCACATACATGAATATTTAATTTTTTAAATTTAAGGACACCAAAACCATAAATTTTGATGTGAACAAGTTCTTACATATTATATATAATATATATTATATACAATTATATACAACATATATGCTATAACATTATATATTTTATTAGAATTTATGTGTTATTATAAATTTTATTTAATGAGTGATTGCCCTTGGTAGGCTCTCTAGTACTATTGCCTATATGTTGAAAAATAAAGTTCAATTGAACTGTATTTATATTTTATAGTTTATTCTTCCTTCTCTTCCTTCATGTTTACACCATATACAAAGAATATTAAACACAGATCTGCTGACTTCTGGATTTTTTTTTTTTAGCTGTTATATCCAGAAACAGTCATCTAGAATGTCTATCTTCTATCATTACATGTGTTATGTTATAAGAAACACACACACAATATAGTAGTTTATCTAGATCCTGTTCATAGGACTCTTCTAACCAATTCCTGCTTATACAGTCAGTTTTGCTCTGACCTTGATAGTTTAATTTCTTAGTAACTGATTTCTTGCTTTACTTCTTGGTGACCTCTTGTTTCCTAAGGTCTGCTCCCAGCACTCTCAACACAGGCATCGGATTTTTAGCTCTTAAACTTCAGTTTTCTTGTGACTGGTGGCACAAATCCAGTAACAAAAATCCAAAGGCCTTCCTCCTGCCATTATCGGATACTAGAATCTGTATTGACAACCTTCTCACATTGTGTCTGAATAGATACCCTGGATCATGAGCTTGGTTTGGAATTTGGAATAATGGTACTTCTACTGCATCCATAAATTCCTTACCCTTGAAGTCAGTTTTGTACCCAGCTTTGGATTCACATATCTGTATGCTCATCCCTTGAATAACCAACCTGTTGCCTCCTTCTCAAGCTGTTATTCAAATAACTATCTTGTTTTACCCCCAAGGGTCTGTTTGAAGTGTTTGCCCTCACTTTCTTTTACCTGATCTGTTCCACCAATTAAATTTTAAAAATATGTGTTGAACATTTATTATATGCAAGTCACCAGGTTAGGTACTGAAAATATAAGCAATTAGACGGTTTAGCAGGGGAGATAGATGATTAAGCATACAGTGACAATACTCTAGGATAAATATTAAGATAGAAGAGTAGAGGGTGCTTTTGGAGTGCAGAGAAGTGGTGCCTAATTCAAACTTCAGGGTCAGGAAAAGTTTCTTGAAGAGATAAACTGGGATCTGACAGCGAATAGCAGAAGTCAGTCCAGGAGGACAGGGTTGAATAGAGAAGACATTCTAGAGAGATAAAGGGGCTAATGCAAAGTTCTGAGGGCTCAAGAGAGAAGGGTGTTGTTGAGAAAATGAAACTAATTTATTTTACTCAGAATGTACCATGCAAAGGAGACACATGACAACAGACAATGTCCAAACTCTGGTTCTGCCATATATTACTGACACCATATCTGTGCTGCCTCCACAAAGCCAATACATACATAATATTAGCAATTTCTCTGCCAGAGCAGTTGCCTCCATCACCAAACACACTTTCACCTCCTTATGGTTCCACTTTGAGCCTCTTTGGTCTAGAAGAGGGACCCATCCTTGGGATCAGGCTCTCCTTCATGCTTTTCTTACATTCTCTTCTCTCGCCTTTTCTTGTACGACCCCAACTTTTCTCTTTTCTCTAGCATTAATCATGCACTTAGGGGTTTTCATCTTTGCTTCCTCTGATCTTCCCTCTCCCAGCCCTGACCCTCTTTCTGACCTAGGGGGCTAAAGACAGAGCAACAAAGGCTCAGGGTGACAGAAGCAAATCCGAGGTCATGTGGGAAGTTGTGTCAAATTTAAATGGCAATGACTTTATAACCATATTCCCCAAGGAAATTGGAGTGGGAGCAAAACAGATAAATCTGTTCATTTTTGTCTGGATCACTTCCAGTTTTGTATCCAGTCTCTTGTGTAACACAATTTATCTTAGAAACATTAAAAAAAAAGTGATAGCTATACTAACGAGTACTTACTGTGCTCCAGGCACAGTTCTAAACGCTTTACATGTATTCATTCATTTAATCTTCACAACAATCTTATTAACTAGATACCATTATAATCCACATTTTACAATTGAGAAAATTAAAGCATACAAAAGATAAATAGCTTGCTTGAGGAAACACTGCTAGTAATGCTGAGATCCATTCTCAAAACAATAGGCAAGACAATCTTAGTTTAAAAATATTGTTAATATGTATTTGGGTGACTAAGAGAAGAGACATCCAGAGAGGGGCAGATCCAGGCCATTGCGAGCCCAGAGTCAGTGTGTATTCTCTTCACTGTCACTATCACAGCCTCTGCTGTTCCTCCAGAAAAATTCACTGGCCACAAAGATCCTTCTAAACTTTCTTCATTAGAGTCGATGATGTAAAAACGTTTTATTTTTATGGGTTGCCTGTTGGGTTTCACACTCCCTGAGCTCTGGAGAGCCCTGACCGAAGGACACTTTTATTTACCTTTCTTTATAAAAGTACTACCATCCTGGCCAGAAGCTGATATCTAAGGCAATGCAAGGTGTATTAGCTTGCTTGGGCTGTCATAATAAAATACCCTAGGTAGGGTAGCTCAAACAACAGAAATTTATTTTCTCACACTTCTGGAGCACAGAAGTCCAAGATTAAGGTGTCAGCAGGTTTTGTAGGTCTTCAACATATGTTATGGGGGAAGGAGTGGAGGACAGAATTCAGCCCATCAGGCAGGGTCATCAATCAAATGGCCTTCTGATGATTCCGATGACCCCTTCCTCCGTGAATCATTTCTATCATCCACAATGATTGACCCAATTAACTCAGTGAGATCTTACCCTCCAACCTGTGTGCTTTTGTAATTTCCCACAGTCTCTGAATAGGTAGCTAAAGACTAGTGGGTGGATACCTGACTATATTATAACAAGGCCTCAAACTTCATCCAATGAAAAGGGAACCGAACTTCCACAGGACACTATCTCCTTACCAAAAAGAAGTAAAGCCTTCTACTAGGTGACTCCAGGAAACTTTGGCACTTCTCAGCCTGTGGGAATTTGATGAGAAGCCTGACCTGGTTCTGGTCTTGAACAACCTAATCCACAGCCAACTGTGAAAGCACGAATCCTTTTCAACCCTGTAGGGGTTCTCATTTAATTGGTCTGGAGCGGAAAGTGGGCACTGTTTATGAACAATTTCCCATGGGTCACTTGCATTTCTGCACATTTTTCAAGCAGGGCTTATGTTCTAGAATATTTTTTCAAGGATGTTTGTATAGTGAACAGCCTTGGATGATAGAGATGGTATCTCCCCCTAGTGGAGATGGCAGGCTTGTTTGCTGTCCACTATCATAAAGATAACATCTCCCGCTGGGGCAAAGTTTGGGCAGATTTATCACCCATTATAAAAGACTGAAGTTTCCTAAGCTCAGGGCTCCTCAGCTGTAACAAAGCCCACTGCCTGCACATTTTTCATCTGAATTATCCCACACTGCTTCCTTAGTATTTGTGGCAAGGAATATTGGTGCAAACATAAAGGTCACATCTGTGACCCAGAAGTCTCTTATCTTCTGCCAGGGTTCCTGAAACCATGGTGGGCTAACTTGTTGGTTTTCAAATAGAGCAAAATCTCAGACCCCTCACAGTTCTTTATAGGCATCAGCATTTTAAAAGGTTACCAGGTGATACGAATGGCCGAGAATCATTGTTTTAAAGGAATCACTACTAATTCTGCTTTGGTTCGATTCCTTTCCTGAGTCTCCTTTCATAGTCTTGCCTAATCATTGTACTAGTTCTCTTTTTAGGTGTCAATTTCTGATTCTTTGCCCTGTGACTGATTCAGACAGTCTTTGTTCTCCAAGCCTGTTAGTGGAACTATCTTTGGTTCCTCTTTGATGTGTGCTCCAGAGCCACAGGCCATCCTCACCTCATATTCATTCCCAGTGGCTCTGGCTTCTTTCTGATCCCAAACGTGGGGAAGGGCAGTTTAACTCCAAGGATGGAGGATAAAGGATCAAGCTGCTGGACAACAGCAGGTCTGAGCAAAAAGAGATTAGGATCTTGATAAAGAGAGAAAAAGGGAGAATTTTATTGAAGCATAGGTTCTAAGATCCCAACAACTCATGTCAATACTGGTGAGTATATTTGGAAACACAAAATAAAAATGTGTTTGTTCTCATTAGCTTGGCACCTCTTTAGCCTCTACAGGTTTTCATTTATAGTCAAATATATTTCCCAATTTATATTTGCTTATCTTGCTGTTCCTATCTCTATATATTACCTTGCTTTAATTCATAAATATGAGGATCAAATATGTTGTAGGCACTCTGATAGGCAATAAGGAGGGAAGACTGCATTAAATGTCATCTCAGACCTTACAAAGTGCCCAGCTAATTGACCAAGATAAGCTCATAAACAGAGAAATAACATATCATAGCAGTGGATGGAGTAGACATATCAATGGAAGGCTCTAGGTGGCATTCTCATTGTTTCTGACAACTATTGTTTGTCTACTTTAAAAGATGTCTAGAGGAAGTCGGGTGAATAGGAAATAATGATATATGCAGTTTTCTATAGGGAATAATGATATATGTAATTATATGTACATGTGTTGGTAGTTGAAGATCATTTAGTTTCTGGGGAAAATTACTGATCTAATGAAAAGGAAAATTACCAAATCAGGAAATATACACTTAAAAATAACTTTTATTTTCCTAAATAATTCTCATTTTTTTTCCTTCTCTAAACTTTTATTCAATTACCTTACTTATTACCCTAAGGCACATTAGATTTTCATAAGGAAAAGCTATATAAATGTAACAAGAAATAAAATACAAATAAAACAAAGCTCAACTTTAAAATTTCACAAACGTAATCTGCCATTTGCATACCGATATTTAAACAATCTAGTTTCTTGATCTCTTATTAAACTATAGAAATTATCAGATATTGAACACTGACATAAAATGTCCCCTGCACATGATAATAGAAGAAAAAGATAAAATATGATTAAAGAAATTTAAATTTGCTATAATGCTTCATGTTGCTTGTTACTAAAATAGAAAAAGCTTTTTAGCAAAATGTGAACTCATCAAAAAACTAGCACCATCATTGCACATGGATATATATTATTGAAACACTTTAAAAAAATAGATCCTGACCTGCATATTGCCTCTTGCCTCCAAGGTCAATGACACTATCCTCCTCTCCTTTATCCAGAAACTGGATTTCCTTCTCTTGTAAAAGCTGCGCGATCTTGACCTGTTGCCGTTTGACCCGGATCTCAAGCAGGTGTACCTGAGCTCTGAGACGCGCCTGCTCCTGGAGACAGTTCTCGAGAGCCTACAGAGTAACATGCATCTTATTTTCATGGAAAGTAAATGCTCCTAGTAAGTTGAATAAATTAATAATACAAATTTGCCCCTGACTCCCATTTCAGAACATTTTTCCAACTGGAAAGTAGTTTGAAAGTTCTAATTTTATTTATTATTTGAAGGATAAGAAATTATGGCTTATTCTAATAAAAAAAAAAAAAAAAAGATATAGTATTAAACAATCTGAATGACTACACTTAGAAGTTTAGAGTTGTTGTCTCAATTGATCTTCATAATGATTCCATGAGGTAGGAAAGGGCTCAGTCCTGATGAGGAAACTTGCTCAAGAATTGCCAGTGGGCAAAAGGAGTCAGGATTTACACTGACTTCAAGGTTTCTGTTCTCAATCTCTACATGACACTGCCTAAGTGCTTTCTTAACAGTAAAATAAATGAAGCTTTTGAATGACTTTTTGGTATTAACATGTTTTAAAAAATATGATTGAATGCTTATAATCTGATGACATGTGGTCACCTTTATAAGGGATGCTAGCTTAGGCCCTCATATCCCTGAATACCTCACCCATTTACATGTTGCTGAAAATTCTACTTGAGTCATTTTAACGTTTTGCTTATTTATTGTTTCTTCCTCAATCACTTTAAAAACAGATGGGAGGAAACTGAGTCTTCCAGTTAAGTCATTTATCTTCTCTAAAAGGGGCAAATAACCCAAGAATATTGCACATGAGAGAGTTTATCAGCTCCTCTCTAAAGTGGTATCTGACTGAGCAGAGCCCTCCAAAGAAAAAGCAAATGTGGCTGGTGAATTGAGAAGGAGAGTTGCAGAGGTGGGTCTTCTGGGAAGAGGTCCTGAGGCCAAGAATCTTAAATAAAAGCTTTTGAATGCTCAGTGTTGGGAGAATTACTAGGGGTGGTGAAACACAAGGACAGAGAACAAATTTTTGCCATTTATCTATTTTACCTTGTCATCTCTATTTGCAGCCCATGTCATGATCTCCTGTTATCTATAAATATAAATGTTCACTTCAGAGAAATTATGAATTTTAATGTGTAAGTGCCTCACACTACTTTTACATACATTATTTTCTAAAAAGGCATTTGATTATAGGCAGATATGTTTCTCAATTTGTATTTGTATAACTTCCTGTTCCTATCTTAATGTATTACCTTCCTGTTCTTATCTTAATGAACAGCACAATTAAATATCTAATTTGGGACAAAGGAAAGAGGCACACTCCTTTCTTATAAAGGACTACAATGTAAATATCCTCAAAACTGAAAGTCATATAGCAAGAGAATGGAGAGTGGTGATAAGAGGCCTCCTTCCTCCCATATTCTCGTCCAAGTCACTGAATCTCTCCCAGCTATTTCTAAGTAAAACTATTTTTTATTTGCTCTTGGCATTCTCTCCTCATTACCCTTTGATTTATCCTCCCTGAATGAGTTCTTTGCTTAGCACCCTGAGTCACAACTGTCTAAAAAATGAACAGCAAATATATTTTACTGTGTCTGGAATCCTGTGTTGCTTTCCAATAGTGGGAAATTGATTATGATATCATTGAACACAGTGGACTATGCAATTTAAAAATAACTGAAGGGATTACAAGGCAAGTATGTTCAATATTTATGAGACACGATATACTGTGTTAGTAAGCTTATTTAAAACCTAAGAGTTTTCTTTCTCCGAGAACTAAATAAATGAGTATTTTTACCTTTTTACTCATGAGTGGAGGAAGACACAAGTTCATTGTAATTACTTTCAAATAATCTGTTACGTTTACACTAATAGTGTCCAATATTGGAAAGCCCAATATTGGGCTTTTTTAATGGACAGTTTTGAACTTCTAATATTATGTAACCACTCAAATTTAATGGACAGTTTTGAACTCCTAATATTATGTAACTACTCAAATTACCCTAGCAAATTAAAAAAGTTTTTTTTACTTATTTTTTGTTAATACTAATTTTTACTTTTAAAAATTTTTAAAGCACTTGGTAAGTTCTTATTTCGTGTCAGGTGTTCCACAAAACTTTTTCATTTCCCCCCCTTAGTTGAGTTTTTTTCAGTGACAACTTACTATAGGTTTGCTGCAAAACAAAAGAAAGTTTAGGTCAAAGCAGGCATTACGAATACAATAGTTTTTATAATGAGCTTACCCAGCTTTCCCTTCCTGTTAGCAGAGCAGTGGTGACAAGGACGAAACTGAACATCTTCACCATTTTTCCCATTGAAAGAACTGCAAGGACAAAAAAAAAAAAACAATTTCATACACTTATTTACGGTGAATTTTTCATGAGGTCAGTTAGGTTCAGACTCAAGGCAATCCAGGAGGTCAAATGCCGTTCTGGGCTGAGAGTCACTGGGAAATTCTCTGAGACTTTCCCAGGCTTCCCCTACACAGAATGCCCAGTTACCTTCAGTAGAATTGAACCTGTTCAGTTGCAAAAATAAAGGAGAGACTCTGGATCTTTGGGTGGCCTGAATGTGCTGCTTGTATTTAGGTGTGGCAAAGGCACAGACTCTATGTAAACCAAGACCTGGGGTCGTATTTTAGCTGAGCCACTTCTTAGTTGTGTGGCCATAGGCAACTTACTAAAACGCTCCCAATTGGTGAAATGGAAATGTTAATTCCTACCTTGATGAAAAGTTTTGCTCATCCTCAAAAATCTGTGCACTGCCAGTAGTGAATTTTCATAAATTTTAGAAGCTACAGAGCCTAGAAGGACAGAAATATCTGCATAATCTTCAAACAAATTTTATACCTATGGTTTCTGCTAAAAAGAAAAAAAGGCTAGAATCAACTGAATTATTAATTTGTTAGTCTATTTTTATCCTTTTAGAACCTATGATCGCTAGGTCCTTTTCGTATGTCTCTTTTTCAATTTTTATGTAATTAGAAAAATGGTTCCCAAATTTTGCTGTCTATTAGTATCTCTTGAGAAGCTTTTAAAAAATCTCCAGACCCAGAGATTGAATCAAATGTCTAAAAATGGCAGCCAGGCCTAGAGATTTGTTAGGCTCCCAGCTGATTCCAATGTTCAGCAAAGATTGAGAAACAATGACTGATTTAAGAACTTAACAGACAAAATGTTTTTAGTTTATGTTAATAAAGTAGGTAGTTCTCAGGCCTGGGGCCAAGAAAAACAGTTACAGAATAGGAGACACATTCCTTAAATTCAATGACAAAGAACATGCCTCGCTACCTTGGGAAGCTTGTAACATATAATGTGAATTTGTAGAATATGTGAAATTTGTGCATTACAGAGAGTAGTGAAGAATCTGCTAGATATAACTGTATAATGTTACTTCATGCATTTTTACTTCTGGCTGACATTTTTATAACTACATACTCAGAACTGTGCTATGTATTTTATAAGTATCTTATTTAATCCTCAGATAACTATACAAGGCAAGTACTATTATTCTCATAATACAAATGAATAAGAGATCAGAGAGGTTAAGTCACCTCCCTAAAATCACACAACTGGTGTATGGAAGACCAAACAACAGAGCTTTTCACCTTGCCGGCTCATGTCCCCCAACCTGTGCTTACATGGCCTTCCTCTCTATATATACATATCCCTGCTATCTACAGGGAAACTGGTTGTAGAGAAGTCTAGAGACTCTCCTACTTGGCCTTCTCCACTGAACATCACTCTCACTCCTTGAGTTACATGCTTCTCCAAAGGAACATTATGTTAACTCGGCAGTAGAGGAGACAGCTGCACCAACGCAGAAGCAGTCCTAGAGAATGGTAGCATAGGCAAGCATTTATCGATCATCAGTTATCTGCTCAATCTGCTCAATGCTATGCTAAACACTGGGAGAGAATAAAACATAGCTGCCTCAGCAAGGCAATGTTAAGAGGAAGAAATGAAAATAAATATTAAAGTGGAAATTAAAGACAATATAAATTAAGTATACATGAAACCATGTGTAATTAAATATAAAAACAAAACTCTCCCAGACCACCCCTCAAGACAAAATTAATGACTTTCTCCAGTGTGATTCCACATTATGTTTATAGACCAATATTAGCAATTATTCACTCAATAAACATTATATGCACTCCTGCTATGTTCTGGGCACTGCGCCAGGTGCTGGAATTATCATTTAGTCAGTTTTTTATTTTCTTTCTTTCTCTTTACCCATGCTAATTTGCTTAGAATAAGATTTGTGAAGGCAAAAGCCACACCTTGCTAATTGTTGCATCTCCAGCATCTAACTTACTCTGGTGACCCTGCTAAAAGTTGAGTTGTTGCCTCTGCAGAAATATTCCCCAGGAGGGAAAATCTTCCTCAGAGGGGAAAATGTGATTTCCTTGCCATAAAACTATTTCCTTTTCTATGCTTATTCTGGTCAAGGGGAGAACAATGGACTAAGTGCATTTTTGAAAATAAGTGTTAAGAAGGAGTTAGAAACTTTCGGTTGGATTGAACACATGAATTTATTTTTCCTTTCTCACAAAACCCCCTATTCAGGGCCTCCATATGTCTCCTGAGCCTCTTTCTTTAGTGTCTAGATGTTTATTTCTTAATACATTAGGTTGAAATATAAGAAATGGCATATGCTTGAACATTTTTGACCTACAAAATAGGCAATTTCATAGGATTCAAAATAATAAATACTGGTTAGATAGAAAGAACATACTTGAAATTATTGTAACCTTTTATACTAAATGGAGGGCCAAAAGACAAAGGTTAAAAATAAAATATTTGTAGCTTACTTAATAAGAAAGAAGACAATTTAGCAATGACCTGTTTTTATGTAAATGCTGCCTCCAATGTTAATACATTAATATACATTAACGCTAATCAAAATATGTAAAAAAAAATTTACTTATCTTGTGGTTCTGTCATAAGCCAATATGAAGAGAAGTTACAATAGTCACTTTTAACTAAAAGAAATTGGAATAGGAAAGCAAAATAACTTTTCCAAGGAAAGGCTCTACATTCAAAATTTATACAACATTTAACCACCTCTTATCACCTGTGTTGCTACCATCTGCTCTAAGCCACCACTGGAAATTCCAATGTTCCAAACCAGAACATTTTTGAGAATGACACTGGGACAAACTGAGCCTTACCAGAGTGAACCAGGGTATGTGGTCACCTACCTATAAGGCTTTACATAATCTGCAAAATCCCACTGCCCCACAACTCCTCTCCCTCCACTATCCCCATCTCCTTTGCTCTGGCCACATTGGCCTCTTCGGTATTCCTTGAACACAACAAAACACATTTACTTTCAAGGACAATTACACTTGCTGATTCCCCTACCTGGAATTCTCTTCTTTTGAAAATCTCCATGGCTTGCTCCCTTATATCCTTCAGGTCTGTTTAAATATTATCTTCCCAAAGACAGACACTTTTCTGGCTACCGTATATAAAAAGCAACCATCTCCCGCATGCTCATACCTCTATTGCAATAGATTAATTATGAATATGTTATATATTCATATAATATATTAAAATATAACAAAATATTATATATGCATTTATTGTCTACCCATCTTCACTACCATCTATAATGTAAGTTCCATGAGGTGAGGGACTTAACCTATTTTAGTTACTGCTGTATACCAGTACTTGGTAGATAGTTAGGTACTGTATTAGTTTCATAGTGCTGCTGTAACAAATTACCATAAACTGGGTGGCTTAAACAACAGAAATTTATTGTCTCACATTTCTGAGGGATAAAAATCTGAAATCAAGGTGTCAGCAGGGCCATATACCCTCCGAAAGGCTCTAAGGAAGAATCCTTCCTTGCCTTATTTTAACGTAATTATATCTGCAAAGACCCCATTTCCAAATAAAGTTATGCTCACAGGTAACAGGAGTTAGAATTAAACATATTATTTTGGGGGGCACAATTCAACCCAGTACAGGTACTCAACAAAATATTTGTTGAATTGATGAGGGAAAAAAACCCTTAAACCTAAGTTAGAATTTTAGAACTTCCCAGCATCTGTTGTTGCAATTTTATAATTGTTTACTAGAGACCAAATTCTTTTGTGTCTGCTGAATTTATTAGATGTCCCTATCAGATTCCTTTTATTATCTCCCCTCTCCCGGCAATGACTAAGAATACTTGATAAACCATACCTTTTGTAAAGTTTTTATTGATTTGCAAATCTGACATTGTGGTGTGTGATAGCTTATATTGGTTTGAAAAATAAAAAAGAGATATTTGGATTCATAAAATCTCAAAAGAAAATAAATAACTGAAAATATAATTCCTAAAATATTTAAAATTTGGCTATCTTAATGAGCTAAAGCCATTATCATAACTATCTCATAATAAATTATTAATTGACTCATGTTTTCATTGAATATATTCAAGAAATAAATATATTTCTTGAGCAAAATTACAACAGCTATGCTGCTATTTTTTAAAAAATCTCATTTGTACCATAATGGTCATTTGTTATTTAATTTTAAAATTTATCATGGAGTTCAAGTAGTAAAAAGTAAAAAACAAAACAAAACAAAATCCTTCATACAATGGAGATTTCCTAAAATGTAATCAATTAGTCATAAAGATAAATAATAAACTGTTTTAATGTTACAGAAAATAAGAAGCAAGAATAATTGTTTTATTATAAACAAGCGAAAGAAAACAAAGGTGAAAAATACAAAATACTTTTTAAAAACAGAAGAAGAGATTTTAGAAGTAGAAAGTGTTATCGCAAAGGGTAGAACACAGGGTCAAAATATAATTAGAGGAAGTGAGATCATCCAAACATTATCAACACTTGAGGAAACAAAGCTCAGAGAGGGAAAATAATAATTTGCTAAGAAATAAAATAGACGACTTTTACTAGGTATATACACATTAGTCTGGGAGATTAGTATAAAATTTGATATAATACTATTTATTTGTGACTCTAATTTAAATTATTCTAATTAAAAAGAAGCAACTTATTTTAATGGTTATTGATTGAGATTTCTCTTTTTTCTTTCAAGTGGTAAAAATAATCTCATTTTTCTTATGTGATAGCAAACAGATCTTTATTATTTTAATCCACTTCCAGCTATCAAATAAAATATTCATTCAGGAGTCAAGAATTTAAACTCATGAAATTTTTGTGTGTTCCAGACTTTGCTTTAATGTTGTCTGTTGAAATATTTTTGTATATTTTTGTTTGGTTAATCAAGTTCCCTTATCTACTTGTGAGGTCAAGTAGTTTAGTTAAAAAATGAATGAATTAACTTAAAGAATTATGCTCTTTTAAAAAATTATGTTTCTATATCTATGTCTGATTCTGGCTCATACAAGTGACAGTGTATGTTGAAAGTGCTCTGGGAGATGCTGGGAAATTATATAACATATATACATATTACTCTACATTAGATTTGGTATAAAATAATGGGCCAAAAAAGTGCTTTGATAGAAGTCTCTATCTTAGTGTCTATCTCATTTCCATTAAAATAATCAAATCTGATCTTTCCCAGAGAAAGGAGACAGCCTCTAGTCTGATCCTTAAACAATAAAGCATTTCGAAATGTCATTATACATATTTTGAAAGTCATTATATTAATTTGATCATCTTTAGAAAAATTCTTGAGACTATTGTGCTGGCTGGAAAATTACTGTTTGGCTATCGCCCATGGGAACATAATGCTCTAACAATAAGCTTTCTGCTTCTGTACTCCCCGCTTGCACAACCGACCTGTGGGTTGACAGTTAGTTAAAAGAAAAGAAATAAACTTGTCTATTCAAACAGGATGAAGAATGGGGTTTAGAGCTTAAAAACCCTGTACCTCTACATTTCAGGGCTGCTTAATTTGGGGTCTGCGTACCTCTGGCAGACCCAACTGGCTGAATAAAGAGTGTGTTTCCTATAACTCACTAGTTTCTGGTGGTCTGTGTATCTATCGGAGGCTGGCAGCTACAACATTTGGAGGCCCCAGCAACATCTTAGAAAGTGGCCCTGAGATCTAAGACCAGACCGGCCTTCGAAGCGGTTGCTGTCCCGGTGACGGACTCAAAGGGGTGGCCAACCTAAGACGTTCCAGGGCCCTTGAATGC